ATGAGCAGGGGATATCTTTCCATTTCCTCATGTCCTCTTTTATTTCCTGAAGTAGCGTTTTGTAGTTTTCTTTGTACAGGTCCTTTACTTCCTTAGTTAAGCTGATTCCTAGGTACTTGATTTTCTGGGGCACAATTGTGAACGGGATTGTTTTTTTCATGTTGCTTTCTTCTCTCTCACTGTTTGCGTATAGGAAAGCCATGGACTTTTCACAATCCTATTTAGAGTTTGGGGCAAGAGAGATCTTGGGTAAGGTGCTTGATTGCCCTTAGCCTACCACGTTTTGATCCAATGCATTTCATATGGTTCCCAAGTACTGCCAGAAATGAATCATAAGCACAGTACCAGGATTAAGCCCTGGCATCACCATGAGTGGTCCAAGAGCCAAAATAAATTGATAATAATAATTATAAAACAGTATCCTTACATAAAGCAAAGCTAATTACAGGGAAGAAACTTTCCCCAGGATGCCACAATTGGCTCATTTATTTCTAAGCTATTTTCACAAATGCCTTACCCTCCAGCTCCATGCACTCAAGGGTGACTGGCTCAAATAGTCAGTTCTCACCTTAAACATGGATTATGCTGGATGGCATGGGATATATCAAATGGGTCCATACACTTCCAGCAACAAGAATATAAGATATCTTTTATTTCCAACCCCTTGGCTGTTTCTTGTTTTGTTGTTGTTGTTGTTGTTATTGTTTGTTTGTTTTTTGAGTCACACCTAGTGATGCTCAGGAATTCCTCGTGGCTCTGCAGTCTGGAATTAACTTTTGGCAGTGCTGAGAATCCATATGAGATGCTGGGGACCAAACTTGGATCGGCCACGCACAAGACAAACGCCCTACCTGCTGTACTATGGCTCTGGCGCCCCTTTGGCTGTTTCTTGGCTGTTTGTCTCTGCATTTATCTGAGATAACATGACTCTCTGTTATCTGCAGCTTTGATCCAAAATGTCTCATGGTTCAGGAGGAACGTGTCTCTCATTTCTGTAGAGACCTCACTGTAAGTGCTCCTCTTCCAGAATCGGTCCCAAGACGTTTAGTCTGTCTGTTTCACTGAGATTCCTCCACTGATTTCCAGTGATTTATTGTGCTAAATAATTTAACAACTGTTAGGGTTTGTTTTTCATGTTTGGCATGTGGGGTGCATCAGAAGTGGATACGGGCAGTACTCACTGCATTGTATTTAAGAATCACCACAAGCTAGGTAAAGGGGACTATGCTGCTGTGCCAATACTGAACTCAAACCTCCTGCATAAAAAACATGCACAGTAGCCCTTGGAGCTCGCTCCCGTCTCTTTTTCTTTTTGGGTCACATCGACGATGCACAGGTGTTACTCCTGGCTTTGCACTCAGGAATTACTCCTGGCTGTGCTCAGGGGAACCATATGGGAGGCTGATAATCGAACCTGGGTTGGCCGTGTGTAAGGTAAATGCCCTACCCGCTATACTATTGCTCCAGCCCCCTTTCCCTCTTGTTCTCAACTGTGAATTTCTTAACTGAGACGAATCCCAGCTAGGTGCCTCATTTAATTAGTCATGCAAGAGACTCTTTTCCAGCCCACTAGATGTGATCACTGAGCTATAGTTGTGATAGAGAGATCCCTGTGGCATCCCTATCATCAGAGAATTGACAGATCAGAGACTAGAGAGAAAAGTGTATTTTACTATATCCTCAGGATATTGAATGCTTTCATGAGGGTAAGCTCTTGGTATTATAGAAATTATATAATGATCGTTATTTATATTTATCAGTTGTGAAAATGTTTTAATGTTAAACTGATATACATATATTTGCCTGAAAATCTCTTGGTAAGACGCAAATATTGAAAAACATTGTTCCCACAGTCTCCTCACAATTCTCTGTTTTATTGTGTAGCACTGCACTGTAGCACTGTCCTCCTATTGTTCATCGATTTGTTCGAGCGGGCCCAGTAACGTCTCTATCGTGAGACTTGTTGTTGCTGTTTTTGGCATATCAAATACATCACGGGTAGTTTGCCAGACTTTGTCATGTGGGCGAGATACTCTCAGTAGCTTGCTGGGTTATTGTGTAACGAAGATTAAATCTCAAGCTGATAATTTAATTCTGCATATGATTTTTGTATGTATGAGGAAACAAGTGTCCAAGAATTGAGAAATCACTTTAATTTATAAACATTTTTTAAATCTTATTTCTATTATGGTAAAAATCATGGCATTACATAAACATGTTATCCTTCTATTTCTGGCAATTCCACGGAATAAACCATAGGATATAAACCATGGATATAAACTATTTTATATACTTTTTATATAAATGTATTGATAATATTGTGCAATAGATCTCCAGTACTCTTTCATCATCCAACATGGAAACTCGAAATCCACCATTAATAATCCCTTTACCTCTCCAGTATCTCAATAAAAATGGTTTAATTTCTTTCTAATTTAAAAAATTTAAGTTTATGAACGTTGTTAATAAAAAATCTTTATGCAACTGTAATAGCAGAAGAAAAGATTTTTGCAGGACTCTAATGAACTTTCTGTTTTAGGGGTGTTGCCATCAATCAGTTATTCAAATCTGTACATAAGTATGCATACTATATAGCAACTATCCTTGCTTCATAGAAATATCTTAATAATAGGCTGCATATTACATTGTTGTAGAATTTTCTATGGATTTCTACAGAACAAGAGTCAATATCAAGTTGAGTGACACAATAAATTATAGGTGACAGTCTATTAAAAACATGCATCACACTTGATGTCAGGGTCTAGTCAATTCATCTGAAGAAAAACACTTGGGTCTATACTAAGACACAAGAAAGAGCCACTTTAAGAAAGAGCTCAGCCAGGGTGAGATACAATAATTTGCACACAATTTCCTCTAATATTTTGGATCATTTTTAGCAGATTATTCATAATAAAGAACACAAAATAAGCTATTTAGGACCTGCTTTGGGTGCAGGTTTGGGTAATGGTAAGAAAATTTGAAATAATGGTGGTGGGAAGGTGTAATGGTGGTGGAATTGGTGTTGGAATATTGAATGTAATAAATTATGGTGAACAACTTTATAAAAATAAAATTTAAAAAGTAAAAAAATAGAATGAATGTGAAGAAAATGTACAGAAAAAGAAAGAATCAAAATGGCATTGAACTTTTACACATTAACTCTGGAAACTGGTGCCTTCCTGCCACTGAATAAAAATTGTTTCCAAACTATAATACATACCCTGAAAAATGATTAATCAAATCGAAGTGTTCAATAAAGATATTTTCAACTGAAAAAAAAACAAAAAGAAAAAAAGAGAAAGTGCTCAGATATGCTTTTATCTTTAAATGCCAATCCATAGAACTCTGTGATCAAGATAAGTTCAAGGAGGTCAGAAAATAACAGCACACAGCAGTGAGCTGAAAGCTCCAACCATCCTTGGCACCAAGCTGAGTGAGTTACAGCCAAAGCCTGACAGAGATCTTGCTGATGGTTCTCGGTATCTCTGTATCCACACTCACATTACCAGCTACTAAGAACATCTTGCCAATCAGGGTCACTCACAAATAAAATTTTCAAAAATATGAGTGTGGGAAGCTGGCCCTTTAACTGACCAAGAGCCTACATGCCTGTGCGGCTGACCTGACCTACATGACCCTCAGCAGATGAAGCCTGTGGTATGGTAATCCTCACCTATGTGACCTTTGGCAGGTAAAGCCTGTCCTGTGTATGATTATCCTGAGAAAACAATTGCCATGGCTGTAACTGACAATGATTAACTTAATATAAGCCTTGTAATGCATGGTAGGTTAAACTTATAGACTCTGTAACTTTCCTAACCACATTTTGAGCATGACCCGTTGTGTAGCTGCCTCACTAATATATACCCCCATCACCCTCAATAAAGTCCTGTCCCTTTTTCTCTCTGTTTCTGAGCTGCATTCTGTCTCTTGTGTCTTGTGTTCATTCGGTTGGCCCTTCCCTGCACCTACGGATCCTAGGGCCACCTCCGCGGGCCGGAGAGTGATCTGGCGGGGCCCCCCCGCATATGAGCAGTGATGATGCTGCATACACATATGGTTAGGAAAAAAATTATTAATTATACAACAAATTTTTATTTTTATTTTATTTTTATTGACTGTAGTTCTATGATTTACAATACTGTTGTTGATTATTTCCAATTTACATAATTCACGTTCATCCCCAGTGTACAGACACAGCTTCCTCCCCCAGGGACACCAATGTCGCTCCCTTTCAACCCTCTCCATCAACTGTTGTGTGGGTTAGTTATCTCCTTCTTGTTGCCTTTGACCCTTTGTTGCTACCTTGAAAGTATCTTTAAGTTCCACATGTACATGAGATCATTCTGTACCTATCCCTTTTCTCAGGACTGGCGTCACTCAGCATGATATCCTATAGTTTTACCCATGTTGTGTGTGCTGTTGCAAATTGAATACAGTGAAATAAAATGCAGCTCTAATATCGAGCAAAGTTTTAAAACAAAAGTCAAAAGGAAATCAGAATAAGTCCCAAATGATAATGCAGAACAAAAGAAAGTAATTAAAATATTTATGGTGGTTACTGGATGGATTCAGGGGAGGGTTAACACAATTAGAGACATGTTTGCTATATGCTTTTTACTTGCTCCAACGGTTTTCCTTGGTTTTTGAAACTTTGATTTTGCTGTTGCTGTTTTTGGCTACATTCGGTAGTGCTGAGAGATTACTTCTTGCTCTGTGATCAGGGACTACTCCTTGAAGTGCTTGGAGGGCCTTATGGGTGCCTGGTATTGAACCCAGATTGGTCACATGGAAGGCAAGCACCCTCCATACTATACTACCTCTCAGGACCCTCCAAAGATCTTCCTTAGCAACCTTACCAGGTCTGAGATCAAGGGAAAAATAAATGTATGTTTGCTACAGTCTTTCAGTATGGATTCAAAATCTTTATAAACTGTGTTCCTTTCAATATCAGGAGAAGAAAATATACACAAACATAAAATAATCCTGTAAGTAGTACTTCATTCCTCTGTTGTCAAATTGATGGAAAGTCGTTTTGAAGAATGTCTAATAGCAAAAAATGGTGTCAGTTTTTCGGTGAATACAGTAGTGTATTTATATATGCATGCCCTATCAGACAAATCATAGACTGAATATTCTCCCAATTCATAATCAAGAAACATACCCAATCTTAAAATTTGTAGTTCTTGTGTATTTGAGATCGCCCCACAGTACTGAAATGACCAAATACTGGTCTGGGGGGTTGGGAATATCAGATGATTTCTGAACATAGATTCTGTACACACTCCTATGGCCCATTGACCTGGTCCTCTGATTTCTACCTGCCAAAAATGCCTGCCACCCTCAAAAGACTGACAGCTGAGCACAGCTGGGTAAGCAATATGTTTTCCTGGATTATCAAGCAGAGATGGTATACTTGTTCCCAGTTTCACACTTCTTCTATCTTCTGATACAGTAAGACTTGGATGGGCAGTTTTAGGATCAAGTGCCAAATCTACCTGAAATTTGCTGATCATATTTTGAAGGCCAAAATAATGTGGAGGGAGAGTGCAACTCTCTTTCCTGAATTCATGTGGGCAGATTCCTGGAGCTGAGAGCTTTCCATACTCATCATGAAGATTTCGAACTCTTTTTAGTAAATCCATGTCAGTCTGCAAAAATGTCTTTGTTATTTCACTCAACAGATTTTTAAGGGTGGATATATACTTTGTAACTTGGAGTTTTTGTTTGTTTAGTTTTTTCTCCATATCTTTCTCTTCCAAAAGCAAACTGGTATTTATTGAAACTTGCTCTTTGTTCAGGAAATATTTAATGCCTTCAAATTCAGGTTGTAATTCCATCTTCCAATTTTCCATTTTCTCTTTCACTTCAAGCATGTTAGAATGTTGCATAATATGAGTCACTTCAGCATCTTCAATACGCTTCTTCAAAACCTTCATATACCTTTTGAGCTTCTTCCTTTGACTAATGAGAGCTTCCTCAGTGGGTATGAGGAGATGATCCTGGTGATCAGAGGAGACCCTGCACTTGGGGCACAACAGCTCCAAGTCCTCCTCACAGAACAGGTCCAACACCTCACTGTGTGTCTCACACAGAAAGTCTGCTTTCTGAAGTTTCCACTTAGTCCTTCTGATAGGAATCTGCTTAACGACATCAGTGAGATGACACAATTGGTGGTTCTTCCTGAAGTTTCTGTCAGGGCAGTGGTGGAGGCAAACAGGACAGGGGAAGATATCCTCTAGATCTTCCCATTGACGGTCGATACAGGAGTAACAGAAGTTGTGCCCACAGTCAAGGGTTACTGGGTCTCTCAGGTAATCCAGACAGAGAGGGCAGCTGGCTTCCTCTTGGAGCTCAGTTAAGGAGGCTGCAAAGGCCATTGTTCTGGAAGAACTCTGTGTGGGAAAATGCCCTTTAGAATATTATGATTCTCTAAACAAATTGGACTATCTTAAATTAAGAAGCTTCTGCACCTCAAAAGGCACAATGACCAGAATACAAAGACAATCTACAGAATGGGAAAGGATATTTACCCAATAACCATCTGATAAGGGATTGATATCAAGGATATACGAAGCACTGATTGAACTCTACAAGAAGAAAACATCTAACCCCATCAAAAAATGGGGTGATGAAATGAACAGAAACTTTCCCAAAGAAGAAATCCAAATGGCTAAAAGGCACATGAGAAAATGCTCTAAATCACTAATCATCAGGGAGATGCAGATCAAAACAACAATGAGATATCATCTCACATCACAGAGACTGGCCCACATCCAAAAGAACAAAAGCAACTGGTGTTGGCGTTGGTGTGGTGAGAAAGGGACTCTCCTTCACTGTTGGTGGGAATGACGATGGGTTCAGCCCTTTTGGAAAACAGTATGGACGATTCTCAAAAGATTAGAAATTGAGCTCCCATTTGACCCAGGAATACCACTCCTAGAAATATATCCCAGAGAGGCTAAAAAGTACAGTCGAAATGACATTTGCACTTCTGTGTTCATTGCTGCACTATTCACAATAGCCAAAATCTGAAAAAAAAAAAAACCCAAGTGCCCAAGAACAGATGACTGGTTAAAGAAACTTTGGTACATCTACAGAATGGAGTACTATGCAGCTGTTAGAAAAGATGAAGTCATGAAATTTACATACAAGTGCTACTACATGGAAAGTATCATGCTAAGTAAAATGAGTCAAAAAGAAAGGACAGACATAAAAAGATTGCAGTCATCTGGGGAATATAAAGTAACAAAATAGGAGACTAACACCCAAGAATAGCCGAGATAAGTACCAGGAGGTTCACTCCATGGCTTGGAGGCCAGCCGCACAAGCTAGGGAAAAAGACAGCTCAGATAGAAAAGGGAGCACCAAATAAAGGGTGTTGGGAGGATACTCCCAGGATGGGAGATGTATGCTGAAAGTAGACTATAGACAGAACATGATTGCCATTCAATGCCTCTTTTGCAAGCCATAGCACCCAAAAGGAGAGAGAAAACAAAAAGGGAATGCCCTGCCACAGGGGTGGGGTGAAATTGGGGGGTGGGGGGATGGGAGGGATACTGGGAGCACTGGAGGTGGAGAATGGGCACTGGTGGATGGATGGGTACTCAATCATTGTATAACTAAAACCCAACCACAAAAAATTGGAAGTCTACAACTGTACCTCATGGTGTTTCACTAATAAAAATTAAAAAAAAGAAAATTATGATTCTCTTGCAAGTATAAGCTTAGAGAAGCATATATATTATATATATATATATATATTTGCTTTTTGGGTCACACCTTGCGATGATTAGGGGTTACTCCTGGCTTAGCTAGTTAGTTCATTACCCACAGAATCTGCCTTATATTCCCTAGCAGAGTGATACGGTCTCCTTTAGTATGCTAAGTACCTCACCAAACAGCTTTCCTACTCAAGGTTCACAGAATGATTACAGCTTTAATGTTTAATGAATCTTCTACCTACATATAAACAAACATCCCTCACGGAAATTTCTAGAGACCTTTCACATGTGGCTTCAGACCAGTACCTCTGAAGGTTTTGTCAGATTGTAGATATTACTTAGTATACCCCCTGTAACCCTACCCTCACACAACAAAAACCCCCCACATTCACACATCCCAAATCTTCTATCCTGGGAGAGTGCAGGAAATTGGTATCAGTAATTAGCAAGAATTTACGTGAATGAGGACTAATTTCTAATTAATCACTTAATTACTAAGAGTCATAATCAGTAGAGTGAATTTGTTTAATAAATCAAATAGAGACTGTATTTCCTTCGGAGGTTCAGATCTGTAGCCATGAAGAGCAGAAACTCCAAAACACCAGGGCATTTAAATGCTGCTATGCAATGATGATCAAACACCCATCCCTCCACCAGTGCCCATTATCCACTACCATGAGTCCCACCCCTCATCCCCCCGTCCCGCCCTGCCTCTGTGGCAGGGTATTCCCTTTTGTTCTCTCTTTCCTTTTGGGTGTTGTGGTTTGCAAAAGAGTCATTGAATGGCAACCATGTTCGGTCTATAGTCTACTTGTTTCTCCCATCCTGGGATGATCCTCCCAACACCCTTTATTTGGTGCTCCTTTCTCTATCTGAGCTCCCTTTTCCCCTAGAGTGTGTGGCTGGCCTCCAGGCCATGGAACAAAACTCCTGGTACTAATCTCGGCGACTCTTGGGTGTTAGTCTCCTATTTTGCTACTTTATGTTCCCCAGATGAATGCTCATGGTGTTTCACTAATAATGCCTCCTTTGCAAACCACAACACCCATTAGGAGAGAGAGAACAAAAGAGAATGCCCTGCCACAGAGGCAGAGTGGGATGGGGAGGATGAGGGGTGGGAGGGATACTGGGATCTGTGGTGGCGGGAAATGGGCACTGGTGGAGGGATGGGTATTTGATCATTGTATAATTGAAACCCAAGCACAAAAATTTATAAGTCTACAACTGTACCTCATGGTGTCTCACTAATAAAAATTTAAAAAACAAACATAAAAAATAAAAATAAATAAATGCCGCTGACTCCCAAGGACCTGCACTTACATTTCCTGCTTACCTGAGTATGGCAGTTCTCCGAAGCTCCGTTTCCTCTAAGTTGTTCTCTGAGACAAATGTTCTTGATACTTATCTACACCGGTGAGGCAACAGTTCGCTTGGTCTTCTTAGGTACCCAGGGTGTTTATATAATACTGGATGGGTGGAGACCAGCAAGTGATCATGGCTCCTCCCCCTCAGAGGGAAGGACAGGACTCGCTGAGACTCAGGATGTATTCAGAGGTACTAGTTAGAATGCAAAAGGGATAAAGTTTAACTGACTAATCTCTTAGGAAATTATTGAAAACAATTTCAGTTTTGTTTTGTTTTTGAGTCATACCTGACTGTGCTCAGAGCTTACTCATGGCACTGTGCTCAGGTATCACTCCTTTGAAGTTCAGAGACCATATGGATTGTCAGGGACAAAATATAGATGGACTGCATGCAAGACGAGCATCCTACCCACTGTACTATCTCCCTATCTCCTAAAACAGTTTCAATTCCGAACTTCCATATCAGATGACTAAATTGATTTGTGAAGAGTATGTAGAGATGTCAGTTTTTTCAGTTATCTATTTTAAACCCTCAAACATCATGAAACATTTATGCCTTTAAGTCAGTTTCATCAAGATTTAGTTTATACGGTTGTATTTCTGCATTTTTGCTTACATTCAGCTGCACTGTACTGTACTGCACTGTCCTCCCATTGTTCATCGATTTGCTCAAGCGGGCCAAGTAACATCTCTATTGTGAGACTTGTTGTTACTGTGTTTGGCATATCAAATACGTCATGGGTAGCTTGCCAGGCTTTGCTGTGTGGACAAGATACTTTCAGTAGCTTGCCGGGCTCTCTGAGAGAGGTGGAGGAATCGAATGAGTGCATGGGAAATGCCCTACCTGCTATGCTATCACTCCAGCCATTCAGCTAATAGAATTAATAAGACAGTTTGGATTATGTAACAAATTTAGTTTAGTATTTAAGTACTTAGTGATTACTTATATTGTGCTCAGGAGAAATGTCGGTAAAGTTGAAAGTTGAAGATGCCAATGGTGAGGGTTCCAAAGGAAATGAAAGCTGTGTTATTTGTAATTGGAAGAGAAGGAATCTTACTACATGGGATGCAAAGCTATTATGTCCTACTTATGTGTAGCAAACTCCCCATAGTGTACCCAATATGCCAAATACCAGTAACAATGATGGGTCTCATTCTCCTAACCCTGAAAGAGCCTTTAATATGGCACTTTAAAAAAAAAAATCTCAGGGCTAGGACGAAGGAGACGTTACTGGGGCCTGCTCGAGGCAATCGACGAACAACAGGATGGTCGTGATCATGATGTGTAGCCAACAGAATTTGCCGTTCATTAACTTGGAGATCTAGCTGAAAAATAAAGAAGGTGTGGGTGGGTTTTTTTTGGGTGCTCATAATAAATTCTTAGTATAAATAGAGAAATTGAGCAGTTAAAAACAAAGAAATAAATATTTTGGTTTTTGAAATATTTTGGTAATATGGATTATAAAATAGTTAAAATTAGGAGATAGACTTCAAGAAAGTGTGCAGTGGGGGGTATGGTGCCGCCAGCAGGTCAATCTGTACCTGTGGGTTGAGTGTATCAGCAGCCTGATGGCAATGTCAGACTTTCAGATACCCCAAAATTGCTGCTGTGCCTTTGGCCAGACCCCAAAACCTTGGGACAAAGTTTACCAAGAAAGTAAATGGCCAAAAGTTAGGTATGTGGGAGAGACACACACAAACCACCTTCGGCTCAGCTATATAATTGGAGGCATGGCTGTCTGGTTCCTGATCGAACTGCTTAATGGCCATGATCCCAGAGTCTCAGAAACAAATCTCGGAACCCAAAGGCTTTTGGCAGAAATGCGTCCTATTCCAGCAGTAGGTTATTGGTGTTGGGCCACTCCAGGTGGGAATAGGTTTCGTGCCTTGGCCTGTTCCCCCTGGTGGCCTGGTGATCACCATCCTCCAGAGGCCACAGAACAGTCAGGTTTGGGCCTGCAGTGATGAGACACATGGGGCCTCACCACATGGGTGGAGCAGACTCTTTCTCCCCATTCCAACGAGACCCTGAGTCGCCACCTACAAATTGCCTCTCTGGCTCCTGATCAAGCTGATTAATAGCCATGATACCAGAGACTCAGAAACAAATCTTGAAACCCAGCGACTTTTGGCAGAAATACATCTGGAGTGCATACAAGGTGGCCTCTGGCTCAGAGCTCATTCGAAAGCCAGGTATAAGCCTGCGGTGACGGGGCAACTGCAGTGTCATGGGAAGGGGGGCAGTACTGGCTCGTCCTGCACGCCCTACCGAGGTCACGAGTTGCCCCCCAC